ACCGGGAAGCCTGCTTCTCCCTCTCCCACTCCCCCTGCTTGTGTTCCCTCTCTCGCTGTGTCTCTCTCTGTCAAATAAAATCTTAAAAAAAAAAATAAGAACTAGGCATTTAAAAAATTATTATTTTATATTAAATGTGATTTAGTCTTGCAGTTGCCTTTCACAATTTGGACTATATGTACTTTTTTTGGGTTACAATAATTTAACTGAATGTCAAGAATCTCCATTCAGAAATGTGAGACTTGACTCCGTAGCCTTCAGCCATTTAATGTACATACAATGCTGATCATGTATGTGATGTAGCCATATGTGGTGCGTAAGCACATCTCCTCGAGTCGCTAGGATTTCGTGTCATCGTTGTAACCAGTGCACTCAGAAACATACGGGGTCCTGTGAGACAGTGCCTGTTAACTGCCATCTTGACCTGGGACAGCTGTCGAGGGTGGTTTTTATGAGTGGTCTCTACGTTTCTAAGCAGTCACCTACTTGATCTTTTTAACATTGGATTCAGGGAGCCTGTTTACAAATCTCCTGGGGAATAGTTACAAACAGTTGACTGGTTTCACCTCAAATGAATGGAATTAAATTCGCCATTGCTGGTGCCTCTGCATGGCCTTCATCAATAGGAGATTTCAGGATGCAGGGAGGGGTGAAGAACCATAGGCCTCACTGCACAAAGAGGTTACTTTGGGCAGATATTTATAACAACCTTGGATCTCAGTTTGCAAAACTGGACTTACCCATGACTTAGGTCTTGTTTAAATCTAAAATTCCTTCAGTTTTGGAACAGTCTTCTTTAGTAGGCTTATCTGTGCCAGAAAATTTAATAAAATTGACTGAAAGAAAGACTGCCTTCAGATCTCAACACTGCCTATCTGTTGATCCAGTTCAAAATTGTGACCCCGGGGGGCGCCTGGGTGGCTCAGTTGGTTAAGCGACTGCCTTCAGCTCAGGTCATGATCCCGGGGTCCTGGGATCAAGTCCCGCATCGGGCTCCCGGCTCAGCGGGGAGCCTGCTTCTCCCTCTGACCCTCTCCCCTCTCATGCTGTTTCTCTCCTGCTCACTCTCTAATAAATAAATAAATAAATAATCTTTAAAAAAAAAAAATTTGTGACCCCGGTTTTCCTTACCTTTTACAATCTTTAGTCAGTTTCTGTAATTTTAGTGGTTACCTCCATATATTTTCCTTCTCAGTACTAAGTATCTGTGTAGAAGTTGAGTGTGTGATCCTGAAAATGGGTGCAAAGAAAGGGGATATGATCAAAAGTGTTTTAACATCACAAATGGACTCTGCGCGGGGCGCCTGGGTGGGTCAGTCGTTGAGCGTCTGCCTTCAGCTCAGGTCATGATCCCAGGGTCCTGGGATCGAGTCCCACATTGGGCTCCCTGCTCCGCGGGAAGCCTGCTTCTCCCTCTCCCTCTGCCTGCCACTCCCCCTGCTTGTGTTCCCTCTCTCGCTATCTCTGTCTCTGTCAAATAAATAAATAAATCTTTAAAACAAACAAATGGACTCTGCGAAATTTTCACGGTTTCTTAAAATTTGCATTTTTCTTTAAAACTTAGAAGAGAACTAGTTTAAATGAGGGAGGAAAGTGTTTTTAGTTGAATTTAAGACATGGGATTTGACATTTCTAAAAGAATTTTTTGGGAATTGGTCCAGGGCTAGTATTGCCAGATTTAGCAAATAAAAATGTGTCATCCAGTTAAATTTTAATTTCAGATAAATAACAAATGCTTTTTTTTTTTAAAGATTTTATTTATTTATTTGAGAGAGAGAGAATGAGAGAGAGCACATGAGAGGGGGGAGGGTCAGAGGGAGAAGCAGACTCCCTGCCGAGCAGGGAGCCCGATGCGGGACTCGATCCCGGGACTCCAGGATCATGACCTGAGCTGAAAGCAGTTGCTTAACCAACTGAGCCACCCAGGCGCCCAACAAATGCTTTTTTTAGATAAAAATATGTCCTATGCAATATTTTGGATATATTTACCTTTTTTTAAAAGCAGTATTTGCAGTATATTTATACTAAAAAATTACTTGATATTTTTTTGAAATTAAAATTTAGTGAGGTATCCTTTATTTTCTCTTGTAATCCTGTCCAGGACTCATCTTCAAGGTTTGCTTGCTGTCATGTCTAACTTTGTAAGACCTGCTTTTTCACAGTGACTCTGTCTGGACAGTTCATCCTTGACACACCTCCTGAGGCCCCTGTCACTTTGTGCCTCCCACTTTTTCCTCCCTCCCTCCCTCTCTTTTTTTTTTTTAAAAAGGGTCACTGATACCAGGACATTTATAAGTAATATGTGATTACTTCTTTTTTTATACTTAAAATGTGAAAGTAAGAAAGGGGGTGCCCTGTATTGAAACTTTTTATTGTTTAATTTCACAGTAATTTAAAAGAAGAAAGTAAGTTATGGCATTAATTGCTTCATAGATAGTTTAATATTTGTGACCTGTAGAAAATAAATGACCTCATAACCACAGGTTGAAAAGAGATGACTGCCAGGAGGCAGATAAAAGGTTTTATTCTGGAGTTAGGCAGCCCTGGCCCCACCCCTCGGCAAGCCCTGGAGCAAGTCTCTTACCTTCAGCAAAGCTGAGTGTCCCCCACTGTGCGGTGGGGAAAGCCAGTCCACGAGGGTGTCAGCATCCAGTGGGACTATGTGCGTAAGCCCGTGAGAGAATGGGTGCAGTTAAATCAATACGTGTACATACTGGTAAGAAAGCATGTCTTTTGTTAAGAGTTGTGTATTATGTGTAAATTTCAGCCCAGTATCTGTTCAGTGTGAGCTTATTTAAAGTACTAATATAGCTGGTTATGAAAGTGGAAAGATGGGCTGTGATACTCTTCATACAGTCTCTCTGCTGTTGGAAGAGCAACTGTTTATTTGGTGTGCTCCGTGTGCACTGACCTGGACTCATCCCAGACAGGATCACACACGTAGCAGAGATGTCAGTGCATTAGGTCAGTGACCATACTTTGTTATGACCGTAAAGTTAACCAGATAGAACCCCAAACTGGGCTGTTCTTAATCTACCTCAGATGCACTTGAAATCCGTAATCATAAACCCCTGAGTGAGCACAACAGGGTGTCAAGAGGTGAGGATAACCAACTGCGAGTTAATCTGAGCTCATTTCTGCTGATTCAAAAAGGATATTACTTAGTATTAGGACAGGCTTTCTACAGCTCACTTGGTAAGAAATATCCATCAGTCAGAAAGCTGTATTCTAGATCTTGAGACGTTTGTACTGATGTAGTTTTGTCTGTGTGGCCAAACTGCTCGAGCATTACTTTTTCCTCTCTCCATGGGCATCTCATCCAAGTGGTGTGTCCACATTCTAGTAGTCTAAGGTGTCAACCAAGGGCCTTTTCCCACCCATTTTTGTTGAACACAGAATTTTTGGTATCCCTGAATACCAGGATTTGCATGTCATAAAAGAAACGTTTGTTTGTATTTCTATCGTATATAGATGCCGAATTGTGAAATTTTAAAGGTAAATCTCTATTAACAGTTAAAATTATGCAATGTTGTTTGTCTTGTGGGTATATTTGGTGGAAATTTATTGCATAATCCTAATTTTATTCCTTACCCAAGTTATATTTTATCCTAATTCCTTATCCAGATTATATTTTACTTGATTAGAGGCAGTGTGTATAGAGGCCTGGCTGACTTTTTCAGAAAACATCATCATAGTCTTACTTTAATTACATAGTAGTTGTGTGATGAAATCCTGTTTGTAAAGGTTTAAAACTTTGGATTTACAATTTTATGTTGGTTTATCACAAAGTACATTTGTATTTAATATAAAACGTCAGGTCTTTTTTATTGTTTAATTTCTTTTTTAAAGATTTTATTTATTTATTTTGAGAGACCGAGCATGTGTGTGAGCGGGGGGAGGGGCGGAGGGAGAGAGAAAATCTCACGCGGACTCCACGCCGAGCGCAGAGGCCACTGTGGGGCTCGATTCCACGACCCTGAGATCCTGACCTGAGCCAAAATCCAAGGTTGGATGCTCAAAGGACTGAGCCACCCAGGTGTCCCATCATCGGGTCTTTTTTAAATAGGCAGTGCCATCAGTTCTCTTTAGTCATGTATTTTTAAATTTACAATTAATTATTGATCCTAAGTCAATCATCAAATACCTACTGGGTTTCCAGGTAGTTAGTCGGGAGTTTCTTCATCGGGAGCTTCCTGCATAGCCAGGGAGGGACTAATGCTCATTGCAAAAGCAGTAACGAAGCAGTTCAGCTGTGCTGGTGTGGGGAAGCTTTATGAAAGAAGTTAGACGGAGTCTGTGTAGAATTACGGTGAGGGTAGGCCTGACTCCAGAGACTTACATAAGGAAAATACTGGAATTGTTTTTCTTTTTTTGACAGGTGTCAAAGATCCATCCAGGACACTTTTTTCCCCTCAGTGCTCTTGATAGAGTGTCTTTTCAGAAAAATATGAAATGCTATTACTGTAGGAAAAATTTTTACAAAATTGCTGTATATTTGGAGATTTCCTGCATTATAGCTCACACGAGCTAATACATTTCCAAATTTGTGTTTGAAAACTTCATTACTACCTTCTTTGTAGTCCGCCTTTAACATCTTCCTGATAATTTTCCTCCCTTCGTTGGCACGTGGCTAACTGCTTTGTACTTGAAATTCATTCTTGTGACCACAGGATGAGGTACTTCTCTGTGGCCTGATCTGCGGTGGCCTAGGGCAGGCTTTGCGGCCAGGCCCCCGCACACTCAGGCCTGTGGCGGGGAGCGCGCCCCGTCCTCTGCGGGCTGGTGCTCTTGCTACCTTTGTGCCGGGGTCGTTCCTGAGCTTGTTCCGTGACTTAGCCCTGTGCTTCCTCTGCAGGTGATCACCAATCTGGTGAAAATGCTGAAGGCCAGAGACACAAGGAGAAATTTCTGTCCTCCAAACCACTGGCTGTCAGAACAAGAAGATATTAAAGCAGATAAGGTTTACTGAAAAATCTTTCTAATATGTTTTGTTAAACATATTTTTTCAGCTTTTGTCTTTCTGGGGAGAAGGATAAGTTCTTTTAAATTGTTTCATTTATTACTTATTATGTAACTAAATATTAACAGTAAGCTTTTTTATTAATTCTTAGGTCATAGAATATATACAGTATCATTGACTTAAAACATACATCCTGAGTTTATTATTAAACCTAATTTTCTCCTTTAACTACAAATTATATTGGAGCCTCGTGGCTCTTTGTTGGGTTTGCAAGAGATTTTGCTTTTATTGGTGTCATAATTATCAATGTGTATTTAGCACTTAAAGGAGATTGAATATGTCCTTGATTTGCTAAATGAACAGAGACAAATTTGAATATTACTGAGATCTAGATCTAAAGTAGATTCAATAGTATAAATATTTTTAGAAATTTAACAAAGATCATGAACTATGTGAATTTTTGACGAATAAGAATTTTCATTCTTGTCAGAAAAAGGCATGATTGTGTTCATTTCAAAATCTTGGGGATCAGGACAGAGAGTAGAGGGTGTAGAAGAAACAAGACCATAGAAACATTCAAGAAAAGAGAGCAGCGGTGTTTTACACCAGGTTCAGATACTGTGTCTGCACGAATCTTGAAGCGGGTGGCTTCTAGCTGTGCCCACTGGTTAGGCCGAGACACCACGCCCCATCCTATAGTGGTGGACGTCCTGTAGCGAGACCCTGGGGGGCGGGGGGCCTCTGAACAACACTACCACCCAAAGGAAACAGCCTTTGGTACGATGGGGCGTTCTGTTACTGGAGAGCACGAGAGCCATGGGCGGCTCCAACCGTCCAGACTAGGTGCAGCGAACTGAACCTCAAGTAGGCTTAAATCTGCAAGTTCGTAAATATACAAAAAAGAACTTGATTGGCCATCTTGGTGGGATGCAGAGGAACCACCTGATTTTGAGACTGGCTTGGAAAAAAGAAGTAATCATGCCCTGAGCCTGCCTTTCTTTTATGAACTTTATGTACCTCAGGCTAAGCAAGTAGTGGTGATGGGAGAGCCTTCTCGGTGTACAAGTAGCTAATAGTGCATGAACCAGGGTCCCACAGTCTGCAGGCTGTGATGAGTAAGCAGTCTAGGCGGTGCCCCTGGGGTGCAGACCCCACGGGGACCTGCCGAGACCGGGCTGGAGGCCCCCGCGGATGGGGGTCGATCACTGTGCTGCTGCTTGACTCCAGAAGGCTCAGCTATGGAAAAATGGCAGCTGAGCCAAACTGCGTCTGGTGGCATAATTGATTCCTGTTTTGGCCCAAGTTCTTGATCTCATGGCTGACCTCAGCAACCAGACATGTGCCTCTTGAGAGAACAAGCTGCCTGTGAAATGTTCTGGCCAAAAGTCCAAGCTGGATGTGATGACACCTCTAGGTGTAATTGCACATTTATAGGGAAACGGAGGGCCTAGAAGCCCACGTGAACACCGAGGGGACACAGCTAGCAAAACCCGATGGTCGGCAACATTGCTGGACAGCTGACCGGGGCCACAGCCAGGGCTGAGGGAGCAGGCAGAGCCTCGGGCTGAACAGAATGTCCACGGACCCCAGCCCTCCTGGGGTACTGATGCAGACAAATTAAGTGTTTAGAATTAGGAGACACTGAATATTTAGTAATAAGAAATTGTTAATTCTTAAAGTGTGATGTGTTTTCATTTGTAAGTGATCATATTATGACAGTTTACTAGATGCAGATACTACACAGCATTAAAGAGAACAAGTAAGATTTCCTTGGGATGTATTAGGGAAAACAGTTACAGTGTGAAAGTGTAAACGGGCAGCCGACCAAGGAGAGAATGCATGAAGAGGACATGAGGTCAAAGAGCAGGACCTGGCAGCGCGTAATGTACGCACAACATCCATGTAGTTCACATGTGGCCAGTAAGAGATTGTGCCAGGGCACGAGGAGGTACTAAGCCAAGTTGCTGGCCCCACAGGTCACCCAGCTCTACGTCCCGGCTTCCAGACACGTGTGGAGGTTCCGGCGGATGGGGAGAATCGGCCCCCTGCAGTCGAGCCTGGACGGTGAGTTCCCTGTGGCCTAGCACGTTTCTCCTTCAGCCCACGGTCATGGGCTCTCGTTGACATACTGGGAAATCCACTCTTTTTGATGTACTGTTCTGAGATTTTTTTTAACTTTTTTAGTGGGGGGGAGGGGCAGAGGGAGAGAGAGAATCTTAAGCCCAACATGGGACTTGATCCCCACGACCCTGAGATCATGACCTGAGGCGAAATCAAGAGTCAGAGGCTCAACCGACTGAGCCACCCAGGTGCCCCTAGTGTTCTGTGATTTTTGGTAAACATCTGCCTCCGTGATCAACCATATAGAAAAGATTCATCACTCCACAAATTATCTGATGCACCTTTGTAGGTAGCCCCTTCTGACTTGTTTTTTGTCCTGATAGCTTTGCCTTTTCCAGAATGTCTTTATTTATTTATTTTTTTTTAAAGATTTTATTTATTTATTTGACAGAGAAAGACACAGCAAGAGAGGGAACACAAGCAGGGGGGAGTGGGAGAGGGAGAAGCAGGCTCCCCGCCGAGCAGGGAGCCCGATGCGGGACTCGATCCAGGGACTCCAGGATCATGACTTGAGCCGAAGGCAGTCGCTTAACCAACTGAGCCACCCAGGCGCCCTTCCAGAATGTCTTTAAATGGCACCATATAGTGTGTAGCCTTGTGAGTCTGGAAAGGAAAAGTCCAGGCATACCTCTGAGACCTGGCAGGTTTGGCTCCAGACCACCGCAACAAAGTGAATGTCCCAAAATGAGTCAGACGAAGTTTTTGGTTTTCTAGTGCATGTAAAAGTTAGTGTGCGAGGGCACTTGGGTGGCTCAGTCGGTTAAGCATCTGACTCTTAATCTCGGCTCCGGTCTTGATCTCAGGTCACGTGTTCAGGCCCTATATTGGGCTCTGTGCTGGGCGTGGAGCCTACTTAAAAAAAAAAAAAAGTTACGCAGGCAGTAGCATTGCGTACATACGTACCTTCATTAAAAATACTTTCAGCTAAGAGATGCTGATCATCGTCTGAGTTTTCAGTGACTGGGAATCACTGATCACAGATCACTATAACAAATACTAAGTATGAAAAAGTTTGAAATATCGAAAGAATTACCAGAAACAGAAAGTGAGCAAGTGCTGTTGGGACATGCTGGATGCGGGGTCACCACAGACCTTCAGTTAGTAAAACACCGTGTCTGCGAAGTGCGGTGAAGTGAGGTCACGTGTGCGCAGAACCTGACGGAGGCGTTCCCCTGTTTTGCAGTGGGTTTGGAGTCCCCGCCTCTGTCTGTGTCCGAGGAGAGACAGCTGGCCATCCTGACAGAGCTGCCCTTCGTGGTTCCGTTCGAGGAGCGAGTCAAGGTGTGCACTTTGGTGTCTTTAGAGATTGACTGCGTACTACATCATTTCAGTGTGAAAGAATTAACATCAACGCAAAAAGCTCTGAAGTTGCTTAGTGCCTAGCTGGTTATATAATTGTTATTTTTCTCACTAGACTGTAACAGTTGACAGTGATTTATAAAAGCTTAGTCCAACCAAATACCTCTGTATAGACTTGAAAGATTTTTTTCCCTTAGTTGTAACTGTAGTTTAAATGCCTATCACACCATTATCTTCTTACAATGGGAGTAGAAGGTCTTTTTGTCTAGTAAATCTTGCATTGTTTTTGAAAATGCAAATTTTTTTTAAAAGATACGCTTCTGTATATTATGTTGAGGTTATTTATTGCAAATACTACTTTATAAAAGAGTGATGGGCAGGTATCTTAAATTCCTGCCTGGTGATTTTTGATGAGTGTACAAAACTTTGTTTACATTTATCTGTTTTGAGATTTAAAATGTTTTGTTTGTGTTCACCAACTTAGCAAATTTCTAAAAACTACTAGGCTCTATTCTTCGAGAGGGTAATTTTAGTCCTGCCCACTTTCTTTATAGGATGAGCAAAAGAGTGAGTTTCTTTTAAAGCTATTGGTGTTTCTTCGTTAAGACCCATCGGCACCCAGGCACAGATGTAACATGACATTACATAGTTCCTGAGCTCCCTCTACTGGATTTTTAGCATCAAAAAAAATTGCTTGAATTTTATTGTTTAGGGAGATTTTCTTACTAATATTAATACATAGCTTTACAAAGCTATTCTTTTCTCTCTACCACCTGGGATTTTCTAAAGGTTTTGCAAAAGAAAATACTGAAAATATACTACAGCATGGGATTTTTAAAATTTGTTACAAAATTTGTTATGAAATGGAGGAAAGGGGCAGTATTACAAATACATAAATATTACGCATTTACTGAGAAGGCATAAAGTCCACATTTGATACCTTGGCTTTGAAAATTTGCTTCAGGATTTATGGACATAGAAAAGTTAAGATTTATTTAGCAGTTTTTCCTTTTGTTGCTTATATTTCTAACAAGAAGTCTGTTGCTTCAGATAACCTGACAACTTCCCCTGTTTGTTAGATCTTTCAGAGGTTGATTTATGCAGATAAGCAAGAAGTTCAAGGAGATGGTCCATTTCTGGATGGAATTAATGTCACAATAAGAAGAAATTATATTTACGAAGATGCTTATGACAAACTTTCCCCAGAAAATGGTATATATGATTCTGTGTGTCTGCATGTGGCAGGGGAGGCGAGGGATTATTTTAGAAAAAGGTAGTCTTAAAACATTAGTGTCCGTCATCTTGTTCCATAATGACTTTTTAACAGTGGAATGTACTATGTCAGATTTGGTAGATGTATATTATCAAATAACATTGACAAATAATTATCCCAACAGGAGCCTTTCAAATACTGATTTTTTTTTTAAGGCAAGAAACTCCACCCACAAATGTCTGCGTCTAAAATTTAGTTGACAACTTTTAATTCTGAAAATGTTGATGGGCAGCCATCGACATTCTGTATTATGGCATTATGATAATCTATTCATGTATATATTGTAAACTCTAAGCCATATTTAACATATCAGAAGAAACCCCACTGCAGTCCAGACCCCTCTACAGACAGACATGTGCATCAGTGACCGGAGCGAGTCACGCTCAAACAGTGACTTGGATCGTATTTAGAGCTCAGCAACCTGTTTTGTCTCATGTGACTATTTGACACCCAGTGTTAAATGTGTAGTGTTATCATTTATATATTAATAATTTTAACTTCAGAGGATGGTATCCATGATACTGCATGAAATTGTGGCTGTATCAATGCAGGGAATTAACAATGGAAGCTTGGCAGGATCTGGAGCACAGCTTTAGGAGGTGATGGGAGGATGTCAGAAATGAACAGTTGCCTCTTCCAGGGGAGCAAAACTTCAAGTCATTTTTTTCTTAAAGAGCTGATTGTGCTATACTGTGGGAGTAACGGAGGGTGGCGAGCATCAGTCACTGGCCCCTTCTCTGTCCCAGGGTTTGTGTGCGAGGGTTTGATGTTCACATGATGTGGTTTTGTCATGGAATCGGGGCTGCAGACACCACCAGCTCAGTCCTGACCCCTGGCTGTGCACTCTCCACTGCACCAGCGTACTCTTGCCCAGCAGAGCACGTTTTAAATCTTCTCTGTGAACCAGGCAAAAATCTGGTACTCTGACTTCCAGCCCAACGTATTTTTGGAAACAAACTGGGCCTCCCTCCATGGGGATCTGGTCCCCATGAATCAGCTGGTGCAGCTGTTGCGTTGTGTCCCCGCACACTGCGGGACAGGGTCCTCGTCCATTGTCCCCTTCAACTAGCTGGTGCTCAGTAGGTGTTGGGTTTGCGCTTGAACCTGGGGAAGACTCAGTCGATAGATAAGATGGTAAATGTGCCATCAACTCAGAAGTGTTGAGAGTGGGATGGAGGGGGGGTCGATGCCAGAGGGTTTTATAAAGCCGTGGGATTTAGGAGAGGGAGCAGTGACCTCCGACCGTGTGCACACTTGGTTCAGGCTTGCTTCCTCCACGTGCCAGAGTTGGAATGAGCTCCTCAGCCCAGAAGGAGATGTGTGTATCAGCAATTTTAAATTAACTTTAAAACTATTTCATGTAGGTGATTTTTAAAGACGTTACTGTCCAGGGGCGCCTGGGTGGCTCAGTCGGTAAGCATCTGCCTTCAGCTCAGGTCATGGTCCCAGGGTCCTGGGATCGAGCCCCGCATCGGGCTCCCTGCTCGGTGGGAAGCTTGCTTCTCCCTCTCCCACTCCCCCTGCTCGTGTTCCCTCTCTGGCTGTCTCTCTCTCTGTCAAATAAATAAAATCTTAAAAAAAAAAAGAATATGTAAAGACATTACTGTCCAATTATAACAAGCCCCAAATTTCCTAATGAATCCTTAAACTTAAAGTTATTCAGAAGTTGATCACACCCTTACTCCCCAGGGTGTGCTGATATTTGCACTGAATTTAAGGGAGTTGGAGAAATCTTTTCCTAATATGTATGTTATAATGCTTTATTCTCTGCAAATAGTCTCTAGTTCAGGCCTTATTAACATGACTTTTTTAAGCCATGTGTTAAAATTGCTATTTTGCTAGGGAGAGTAGTAAAATTAAATATCATCTCAGAATGTTGCATTTACTTCTGGAAAATTGGTGTGAGGTGCTGTGTTAACTGATCGTTTACACATAATCAGTTAATACGACTGCTCCACGTGCCGTCTCGTCCTCACAGCGCATCTGGCGTTTATGGACACTCATCATCTCGTATTCATGTCTTCTCAGGACGGTTTTCTTCCTCTCTCTTTTTTTTAAGATTTTATTTATTTATATAATCTCCACACCCAGCGTGGGGCTTGAACTCACACCACCGAGACTGAGCCAGCCGTTTCCCTCAGACCGGTTTTCTGGAGTGTGGGTGTTGGCCCCGTGGATGATCAAGCTGGCTGCTGGAGCTCAGAGAGGTGGGGAGCCCAGCAGGTACCGGTGCCCCAGCCGCAGCCCCAGCCCCAGCGCCAGCCCCAGGCCCGGGCTTCCAGGAGCTCTCGTTGCCCCGCCCCGCCCCAGTGTGAGACCGGGGCGAAGTGATCACAGTTACTCTCAGGACTGCTGTAGCTCTTGACGTCATCATCCGTTAGCTTGGATGAGAATCCGCTAGAGCTGGCTCTGAACTGTACTATAGTCGGTTCCCGAGAGCCTCGCGTGTCTGTGCTTTTGTGTGTGAGTTGGTTTTATTTTGTTTCATTTAACGGGCAGGATTTATGACATTGTTTTCCTGAAGAACAAACAATAATAGGGTAAAATAAAAGTAACATTTTACTTAGGTCCCCCCCCCCACTGAAACCTTAGTATATAAGTAGATATTTTATTTTATTTTATTTTTATTTTTTATTTTTTTTTAAAGATTTTATTTATTTCACAGAGAGAGACACAGTGAGAGAGGGAACACAAGCAGGGGGAGTGGGAGAGGGAGAAGCAGGCTTCCCGCTGAGCAGGGAGCCCGATGCGGGGCTCGTGGGATCATGACCTGAGCCGAAGGCAGACGCTCAATGACTGAGCCACCCAGGCGCCTCTATAAGTAGATATTTTAAATTTGTCCTTAGAAACAAGTAGTGGCAAGTATCTCAGGCTAGATTTGATTCTGAAAATATTATTATGCTATTGTATATTACCATTCACAGAAATGAGCTTTAGGGAACACAGAATCTCAATTCTAGCCAAATCAGAGGGGTGACTTCGGTGACTGCCCACTGAGTCTGCAAAAGATAATGACACACTCCCGCTCTCCTTGCTGGTGCTACAGGTGGAATGAGGGTGGGAAAGCATGGGCCCTAGTGGAGTGGTTCCCACTTACAGCATTGTACGCTTAGAATTTTTACGGAATCTGCTACCTGCTGACCATCAGTTTGAGAAATAATACATACAACAAATGCTTAAAGTTCATCCTTAAAACTGGGTATTAAGAGGAATATGTAAAGGTGAGAAATATCCACTGTATTTTTATGTTGCATCTATAATTATCCGCTTAGATTTCTCTTGGCATTTTACCTAGATCTTGAGATTGAACGTATTTTGTAATCCTGTTAATCAAAATACATGCAAATAACATATTCATGGAGTCTAATCAGTAAAAAGCATGTTCTTCATGTAACTATAGTTAAATTTTAAAAATAGAAGAGAATACGGTTTAGTATAAAAGCCTATGCTTTGTAGGTAATAGACCTATCTTTAAATTATAGCACCCCCTTTACAGTGTTAGCTGTAGGCCTTTAGATACGTAACTCAACCTTCCTTTTACTTGGTTTTCTCACTGCAGAATGAGGATAATTCTTTTTTTTTCCTCTTCTTCAGGTTTTTATTTAAATTCTAGTTTGTTAATCCCCAGTGTAATGCTTGCTTCAGTAGAATGTATTGACTGAGCACCTCCACCCAACACCCAGTGCTCATCACAGCAAGTGCGCTCCTCCATCCCTTCACCCATGTAGCCCCTCCAGAATGGGGGTAATTGTTAACCCAGAAAGTTGTTAAAGGACTTGAAGTAATGTGTGTAAAATTCCAGGTAATTTCTAGCTCGGGGCAAATACTCAGTGGTCATTATTCCTTTACAAAGTACAAGAGCAAGCTGAAACCAGGTGGTTTAGGTCTGTTTGCCTTACTCCTGCGGGAGATGTGGGCGTCAGCACGGAGCTCACCTGGCACAGCGTCTGTCCTCTCCCCTGCCGGCTCAGCAGAAGACGAGGTCTGTACTGCTGGGCACAGTGGTGTAGATCTCAGTCCATACAGTAAATCGTCCTGGCCCTGTTTGAGCCATGTTCTAGAATAGTCCTGGCCGGGTTCTGTGACTTCGGAAGTACTGACGCCCGCCCACCGCCGTGATGGAGGCTCTGGCAAACATGCATTCTGCTAAGCCCCTTTCTGGAGTGTTTTCTCAAGGTCCCCTGTCCCTCGGGAGGTTTGAGGTGGCCGCACAGGAAGCCTGAAAGATGGCAGCCGCTCATGAGAGCCCCGGAGCACTGGTTCCACGTGCCCACCTGGGCCGAGCCGCTCTGCACCCACCACGCTTGCCCAGCGGCCCGCCCCTCCACCCCTCCCCGCCCGCTGAGATGCAGAGCACCCCAGGACGCAGGGGGAAAGGAGGAAGGACGTGCCAGTTACTTTCTCAAACCTGCAGCTTGAGAGAGCCTGTCCAGTGAAGACCACCTGGTTTCGACTTTTGGCAGAATCCCTGTCATTGGCTTGTATTTGGGGTCTGTTGTATCACTCTAGGGGAGTCAGCCCAGCCACACTGTCCTCTTGAGGACCTGGCCGGACGTTTTTCTAAGATGTCAGGCATAATTAAGCAACTTGGCAAATTTTTTTGTGTTTTTATCTTTGTGGCACACTATGACCAAAAAGACTTGACCTTTTTCAGCCAGATAACACTTTGAAATGAAAATGGAGACTCTGGGTTCTGACTCTCCTGCATTGTTCACCTCTTTCCAAGACTCTACTGTTGTGGCACCGATGTCTCCTTTATTCATTTGTTTTTTGCCTTTCCTGATAACAATTTCTGTTCCCCTTGTATTCTTATGTGCTTAATTCCCTCCCTCCTCTCCTCGTAGTTTAGAGTACTTTAGAGTGTCATGTCCTTTAGAATATGAGGGGTAACTTAATTCTCTCCTGAGCGCTCTGTCTCCCCTCACATCCATGTGTGATATGTGAACTTCTTTCTCTCTTTCTCCCATTGTCAGCTTTGGGGAAAATATGGGTCCGTCTCATCGTCTGTTTTTACTCTCATTGAATTTTTTTTTTTTTGAATCCTGTATTAAAATATCTCTAATATTCTTGCTTCCCTTCCCAAAACTTCCTGTAATACCAGCTTATTTTATTGCCTTCTTTTAAAATCCTCTCTCCTCCCCTGTTAATCCCCTTGCTTTCACAGAGCCTGATTTGAAAAAGCGGATCCGTGTGCACTTACTCAATGCCCATGGCCTGGACGAAGCCGGCATCGACGGTGGTGGGATTTTCAGAGAGTTTCTGAATGAGCTGCTCAAGTCAGGATTTAACCCCAACCAGGGGTTCTTCAAGACCACTAATGAGGGGCTCCTGTACCCCAGCCCGGCCGCTCAGATGCTCGTGGGAGATTCCTTCGCCAGACACTACTACTTCCTGGGCAGGATGCTTGGAAAGGTAAAGTAACTTTGTATGGACGTGGACCTCAGACCACAGGATGTTGAAGTTCTGCCTTTCTGTGTGGTTGCTCTGTGTCATTGAAGATGTTTATTCAGAATTGCTAAAGTAATTTTGGTGAACCCTGAACAGTATTCTTTTACATAACAACTAACACTTCGTTGTTACACGTTGCATGCACAGTAGTCACACACATAAATCATTTGGGAAACCTGGGGGACATATATTATAAAACCCTGTTTGTCGAAGTCTCTGGGTAGATGTCTCTTGCCTCAGTGTGCACCCTGGAAATACTGTCAGTCTCCCCGTTGCTCTTGTCCATAGTGTTCAAGTGGTTCTTTTAAGGTTCTGTAAACGTGTAAAGTGCTACAGGGTGGAAGACCATAGTTGTTGGGTGTGGGCTAAGTGTTCTGTACGTTGTATGCAAACTCTATGAGAAATGGCCATTAAGGATGACGTGATCGGGGCGCCCGGGTGGCTCAGTCCATGAAGCGTCTGGCTTCGGCTCAGGTCATGATTCTGGAGCCCCGGGATTGAGCCCCGTGTCAGGCTCCCTGCTCGGCAGGGGGTCTGCTTCTCCCTCTCCCTCTGCTCCTCCCCCTGCTCAGGCTCTCTCTGTTCACTCTCTCTCTCTCTCAAATAAATAAAATCTTTAAAAAAAAAAAAAAAAGGATGACATGATAGAAATGCTCTAGTAACCAGAATGCTACACCCCTGCCGACCAGCTACACAAACTCCTGTAAATGAAAGGAAAAAATTGATGAATGGTGTGTGTAGCCTTGTGGAAGCGTCCTATTTAGTGGTGAAACTGATAAACTAGATCAGTCCTAGCCTGTTGTAGCCCCTTCAGGCGGCCATAACAGAACCCCACAGACCGGGCGGCTTATCAGTCACAGACCTTTGTTCCTCACAGTTGCAGAGGCTGGAAGTTCTGGTCAGGATGCCACGTGGTCTCACTTGCTGGGGGCCCTTCTCTCTGGGGTCGCTTTGATAAGGACACCGATCACATTCCTGAGGGATCCACCCTCCTGACCTAATCACCTCCCAGAGGGCCCCCCCCCCAGTGCCATCACCCGGGGGGTTAGGACGTCAGCGTGTGAACTTTGTAGGACAGGCGGGGAACAGCAGGCCCAGGCCGGGAGACTCCATTTAAATCAGGGGTAGCTGACTGCTTCCCTATGGGTCAAATGCAGTCCAAAAAAGAGATTTAGTGGTTTTTTTCTTTTTAATTAATTACTAACATTTTTAAATGGGGGAATATTTATGTGCAAGGTCGTATTTCTGGGTTACTTCATTTTATTTTGTTTGCGTCTTTATACTTGAATTCCACGTCAGCAGTTGCCAATCCTAGCAGGATGCAGCTGGTAAATATCCCAATAACATCAGTAAGTGAGACTTAGGTCTAAACTGTTCTAGGCCGCCTGGGTGGCTCAGTTGGTTAAGCGACTGTCTTCTGCTCAGGTCATGATCCTGGAGTCCCGAGATCAAGTCTCGCATCGGACTCCCTGCTCAGCGGGGGGTCTGCTTCTCCCTCTCCCTCTGCCTCTCGTGCTCTCTGTCTCTCATTCTCTCTCTCTCAAATAAATAAATAAAATCTTTAAAAAATAAAAAAATAAACTGTTCTGAATGAGGTGGGAAATCATCTAGGTCATTTCCCTGGGAAATGAAAAGTTGATTCTTGATTTTTCTTTGAATGATTCACTCCACTCATCATAACTCTGGGGTAGAGAAAACCTGATGCATGTGGGGCAGCATGCCAGGATCCCCAAGTATTCAGACTCTTGTTAACCAATAGTCACTCTAGTGACAGTGACCCGGGTTTACCCCAGACCCACCTTCTGAATCAGAAGCCTGATACAACAGCCCGAGAGCTGAGGGGAGAGCTGGAGGGAGCGCAGGGCTCAGGGCCGGTGGTTCCCTGCTGGCCTGCCTCATCTGAAGGATGCACACCTTTCTGTCCTCCCCACCAGCGATGCTGGCTCCTCACGGGGGCTTCTGCCAGCCACCAGCTCCAGTTCAGAAGGTATCTTTCTTGTTTTCATTACTGGGGGTCTACCTCGCAGCATAGAATAAAGATGGAACAGGGCGCCTGGGTGGCTCAGTTGGTTAAGCGACTGCCTTCGGCTCAGGTCATGATCCTGGAGTCCCTGGATCGAGTCCCGCATCGGGCTCCCTGCTCGGCAGGGAGCCTGCTTCTGCCTCTGACCCTCCCCCCTCTCATGTGCTCTCTCTCTCATTCTCCCTGTCTCAAATAAATAAATAAAATCTTAAAAAAAAAAAAGAATAAAGATGGAACATACCTGGATCTGTAAAGGGTCACAGCGTATCCAGTAATAAGGTTATTATTAAATAAGGACGCCTGGGTGGCTCAGTCGATTTGAGTGTCTGCCCTCGGCTCGGGTCGTGATCTCAGCGTCCTGGGATCGAGCCCCATGTTGGGTTCTCCACTCAGCAGGGAGTCTGCTTCTCTCTCTCTCTCAAATAAATAAATAAAATCTTCTAAAAAGAATCGTTGATGTATTGTTATAGGAGTTAAATGTTTTCCATGGTATTTGGAGGAAGTTCATTAGGGTTTTTGGATAGTCTGGGAATGCATTTTGGTTTCCCCTATTTTTTTTTTTTTAAAGATTTTATTTATTTACTTGAGAGAGAGAATGATAGAGAGAGAGCATGAGAGGGGGAGGGGGAAGGGTCAGAGGGAGAAGCAGACTCCCCGCTGAGCAGGGAGCCCGATGCGGGACTCGATCCCGGGACTCCAGGATCATGACCTGAGCCGAAGGCAGTCGCTTAACCAACTGAGCCACCCAGGCGCCCTGGTTTCCCCTATTTAAGAGTGGGTTAGGAATGCCTGATACTCAATATTTACTGTCCAAAGCATTTTGAGGGACAGATTGGATTATAACACAAGAATCATAGCTGGTGCAGCTTCTGCAGGTCAAAGGTGTGACTGAAGGTGACACTCTGGAACTGAGGGCAGCGAGCTACAGCCTCTGGCCTCCTATTCTTTGTAGTTAAAAAAAAAAAAAGTTAGAATTCCAGCAGGTATCATCATTTACATTGTCTGGTTGCTTTCCCTACAGCGACAGTTGAACAAAGCCCAAATAAAGGCTATGCTCTGGGGCCCTTTCCAGGACGGTTTGCTGACTCTGCTGTAGGGCTAAGCCAACAGACAAATCGTAAAGAACCTTTGTGTCGCATGGTCTCCATCCTGTGGGTCATGGAAAATCATTGGTTTGAGCAAGGGCTGAAACTTCCTACATTTGTAAGGAGACAACATGGGGCGAATGGATTTTAGAGGGTGAGACTCAAGAATTAAAGAGTTTAAGGGTCTGGGACACTGGCCTGTGAGGTTAGCGGGGACGAAGAGTGACCACGGGATGTGTCCGCAAGTCTTTATTTCTCTGGCGCGTTTTCTTAGAACTGCTTTATTGTGCAGGTGTGCGATTCAGGGCGCCTGACTGGCTCAGTCGGTGGAGCGTGCAGCCCTTGGTCTTGGGGTCATGAGTTTGAGATCACTTGGGTGAATGAGCGAATGAATGAATGAATGTTTTTCAAGTGTACGGTTCAGTAGTTCCAGTGTAGTCAGAGTTGTGCAGCTGTCACCACCAACACATTTGGAACATTCATCTCCTGTGGCTGTTAACAGCTCTCCTTTCCCCTTCCCAGACCCTAGGCAAGCGCTAACTTACCTTTAGTCTCCATAGAGTGTCCTGTTCTGGACGTTTCGTATAATCGCACCAGACCTACGTGGCCTTTAGTGACTGGCTTCCTTCGCCTGGAGTCATGTGTCCAAGGATCACCAGAGGCGTGGTCTGTGTCAGCACTTCGCTCTGGTATTGCCAAATCATGTTCCCTCTGTGACAGCCACATTTCGTTGTCCATTCATCAGCTGATGGGTGTGGGGTTGTCCCCGGTGATGTTTTTAGTGGAGTGGTTTGATAAAAATGAGTTTGCTGGGGGGTGAAGAAGAGCAAAGGCATAAGAGCAGAAAAGAGTGTCGGTGACCTTTGCAGAAGGCTTCACTCTGAAGGGAAGGAGAGAAGATCCCCAAAGAAAGAACATGTTCCAGAAAAGAATGGGTGGGTTGGTTTTCAAAGATAGGGTAGCTTTGTGCAGGTAGGATGTCGATGAAGAGCCAGGTGAGAGGGATGGCTTAGCAAGCTGGGAAGACACAGCCAGGGACTGGCGAGCTGCCGTGCTCCACAAGAACTGTCTGCGTGGCCTGGCGTCCAGCTGGCACGGGGCTGCTTCAGGGAATCACATGCACGATGCAGGTCTCGATCGGTTTGGTGGCTGGTGACTGCAGTGTGGAGCAGCTCTGAAGCCCAGATGGAGGCGTTGGCTTCAGGTGTCCTGAGCAAGGAAGGTGGGCCAGGGATGGTCTCTGTGTGGACTGGGTGAGTAAGGAAGGTCAGAAGGGGAGCTCTTGCTGGCGTGGGTGCCTGGCTGATGGAAGGATGAAAGCCAGCCTGAGGAGTCGGCCCTCGGCGCTTTGGCATCCAGACAGACTGGAGGGAGTGGCCATGGGGGAGGAAGATCAAAGAAGACGGGGTGTTAGAAGGGAAGGAAGTGTATCAAGGTCAAGAGGTGAACAGTGACCCCCTGCTATGAGGTTGGGAGGGTGGGGACCGTGAGCGACACCGTGGTGCCCACTACAGTGACGTCAAGCCAAGGGGTAAATGGAATGCGTGCTATTCCCGGACTCAGTATGTAGGAATTGTGATTAATGAGGATCATCCTTGAGTAAGTACTTAAGGAGTTAATGTTGCTATCGTCATTGTTTTCTGTGAGAATTAATCAGAACTATCATCATTTTCAGCTGTATAGTAAAATTTCTTATAGCTCAGCTTTGTAGCTCTGTTCTCTGTACCTATGAAACAGACCTGCCATTGTTCACCTTGGAGTTGCCCATTTGAGAAGCAACGTACAAATCAGTGTCTGCAAAGCAGATCATGCTCTGACTTTTAAAAAAATAAATGAATAGATTGATAGATAACAGC